TTTCCAATGGCTCTAGAAACCAAGCTTGAGAAAAAGGATAAAAAATCATTTTAGTTGCCTGTGTTGCAGAAGTTGCCGTTAAGTGAGTTACAAATGAATGAATGAATGACATAGGTGCATTAAAGATAAAAAATAATGTAGTCAATTTATGTGAGTACCAATGAATGATACAGATATGGAAGCCAACGGGAATTCAAAGGTACTGGAGATCATTATGGACTGGTGTCTCAGAGAGGAAAGTTAACTTGCAAAGGCAGATGATGTTCTAGGAGGGACAAACGTTTCAGCCAAGGTGAATGAAAAGGTGTAAGTATGAGAAGAATTGCATAGAGGGTGTTAAGAGCTGCAGTGGAGCAAGACACAGATGATTAGACGATTATTAGATTATTGGACTGTTATTAGATTCTTAGATCAAAGAGAAGGGACCTAACCCAGCCTCACCAGATGGGATCAGAAGAGGCAAGACAGGATTGAACTCAACAGAGGACTCGTATTAACAAAACATCGATAACAAAACAATACCGGTGCTTGAGCACTCATTATATACCAGGAATTATTGTCTTTATGAGTATTTTTGCTAAATAACTGTATAATTTATATTTATATAATTATCATATTATATAATATTATATAAATATTATATCATATCATATTTATATATTATATAAATATTATATCATATTATATAAATGTTATATATATGATTATCTTCATTTTCCTGTTAGGACACAGAGAATCAGAGAGGTTAAGTAAGCTGGGAGTGGTCACACAGTAACCCACTAAGCCAGGATACGGGCAATTGAACTTCACAAAGTGTGCTCAACCACTCTACTCCCCAGCCTCTGAAAAACATTAATATTTCATTTCATGTTACCTTTTAGCAACACCTGACAAACTCAAACCCTTCCTTGGTATCGTACACCTGTTGGCAGAGAAGTCTTTGAGGCCTTTATCCAAGTACTGCAGCAAAGATAGAGATGGGAATCCTGCATCCCCTCAGCTCTCCTGGGTTCTTCCCACTCATGAAAAGGGGGTAGCTGATTTGGGGAGCTTTGGCCACAAGAGCCAGAAAGAGTCTGGAAAGTAAGTTGCCCTCTGCCAGAGGCCAATTTGCTATTAGAAAGCAATTCCCTTTCTAATGCTGCCGCACAGTCCCCAGACCGTATCCCTCGCACCTTGCTCACACCATGTGGAATGCCCAGTGGTTAACCCACCCCTTGGCTTCATAGCTGGAGGATTCCCACTTCTTATAAAACACCTTCAAAGGAAGTAAGAAAGTCCAAATCCTGATGGGGTTACTTCTTGATGAGGGCCTTGGTGTTCTTTTTTTTTTTTTTTTTTTTTTTTTTTTTTTTTTTTTTTTTTTTTTTTTTTTTTTTTTTTTTTTTTTTGCCTCAGACTCATTCACGTGCAGTGGGAAGAAGTATTCAAATGACAAGAGTTAAATTCAAAACATGTAGCCACTTTCTGTTATATTTTTTTTTCCTGACTGAAAGCAAACCATTTAGATGTTTGTTTCCAAAAAGGCATCTGTCAGCAATCAAAGGGGAAAAATGCATAAAGCAAATGCAATTGTTTGGAGTAGCATTTCCTGGATCATGTTAAATGCTTGAATTGCTCCCCATTATGCTCACCAAATAATTTTATTTCCCACAATAATTGCAATATTTAACATGTTTTATTTAATCTTGTTTTAAGGCTATTAACAACGGGCCACACTGTGAAAAGGCTGATTGCTGTATGAGAAAGGACAGCTTCCACCAGCCTCTTAGAGAACAATGATAAAGTTAAATGCACCTAATTGTTCTGGATTTAAAACACTATTATCCAATAATATTTCTCATTTCTTTGTTCCAAACTACTATGCCATCTCCTGTAAAACCTTCCAGGGTATTCCATCATTCACAAAGTAAAATCTGGACTCCAGTTTACCTTATGCCCCATTCATTCATAAATAATGGGTGTGCACAGGGTGTTCTGAGTCTCAGAAATGCAGCCGCTCAGATAAGAGACACCTCGAACTTCAGAGGCTGCCGCGTGGCCGACTTAGAAATTGTAAGGCTGTGGGCCCACAAATCCAAAATGCCCCCGTGCCTTTATGCCCCCGGAGAATGCGGAGAAGACCCTAACGCAAAGAAACTTTGGTTTGTCTGCTTTCCAGAGGCAAGTAGGAAAGGATGAAATGGAACAGGAGGCTGATTCAAATGCAGAAAGCTGCTCCACTTCTTTTCTTATTCCCTTTTACCCTTTTGTTTTGTTTTGTTTTGTTTCCAGTTTATGCTACTTTACATTTTATGGAGAATTTGCAGCATTTCTCCTTTGCTTTGTCTAAATGACAAACCGCAGAAAGACCAGGTCATTTTAATGACGCTGCAGTTACAGGAGGCAACAAATGTTTTGGCTGGCGAGCTCAGGGCAAGATCCTGGAGGAAGGTCCATTTGCTGAAGCTGAAGGTAACTTAACATTGCCCGCACTGCTGCGGACTCTTTTTCTGGAAAGGGAGGTAATTCCAGAGTAATAAAGAATAGAATGTAAAGACGCTTCTCAGAGTGACGGCAATATCCATATTTGATAATAATGCCCGATACCACCCTCTACCCCGCTATGATGAGAAAAAAATCCCATTACGCTGAGGGATGAGGAAGAAAAAAATGTCATATTTATTACACTTGTGGCTAATTCTGTAAAAGCAGTCTGTGCATCGTGTCGCAAATTATAAAACATTTCAGATGCAACTGGATAAAATTTACTTTACGGAAATTATTTTTGTCAAAGCAACTATCGACCTGATGCTAAAGAGCTAGCTTAACACCTACTGAGGAAGAGGTTACGAGTAGGAAAGCAAATGCCACCAAAGTTAACCTTTTGGGAACTTAAAATGTGTCCCGAATAAGTTTGTCTAAATATTATTCAGTTGGAAATGTGACTAGAAAAAAATCCACTGGATAGTTGGGCTGTAAATGCACAACTCTTTAAATAATCACAGTTCAATCGCCCTGAAAAATGCTTGAGATAAATTCCCTGAGGCTCCTGAGTGCCCATATAGGAGACTTGCAGTGCACAGAACTGTAGTATCACTGCTAAGTTCTTGGGGATTGAGGAACCACTTCTATCCAGGGGGAAAAAAAGAAAAAATAGGATGTGTTCGGTACACTGCTCTTATAAAGGTATTTCTGCAGTTCCTAATTTCACACAGTTTGAAAGAATAAAATACAGCAAATACAAGTATTCTCTCTACGTCTTCTCCCCTCTTGGTCCTTGAGTAAAATGACTGGAAATTCATTAGTTGCCTGGACTTCTCACTTAAAAAAAAAAAAAAAATTATTTTTATAGTCACTCTTATTGGTAGATCCGTGCTGTGGTTTATTTTTTCCTCTACAGAGAGGATGTGTGGTCAAAAACCCCTGTGAAGACGATCGTTTGGTTACAGTAAGGAAATCAGATGTGATTTTCCCTGAATAAGGAAGTAGTCATGTCAAGTTTAGCCTGAATTGTGTTAAACTGAATTGATAATGACTGATCGCTTTATTTACAGAGAATCAAAAAGCTCAGAATTCATTAAAAAAAAAAAAAATAGAACACCAAAAAGTAGAGATGGTACATAG